GGCCTGACTTCTTGCTGAGACACTTCCTCATGTTTGTCTTTCCTTAGACATACTAAGTAAGTCTAAGACATACTTATAGACTATAGGTGTACATCCTTAAACACATAAACAGACGTACACAGTTAACAACAACATCACTGTCATTTCCACCAGAACCATCAGAAGAAGCAGCAAGAATGAAAGAAAGACGGGGGGCAATGTACCACATCCAAAGTCACAGTCCCAATTAGTTTTTTTCCCCACCAAATTATGGTGGAAGAAAATACCTCAAATATCTGTTAGTGTCACCTCTAGGATGGTAGAAAGTCTTCCTTGAGGGGAGCAAATTAAACTCACCGTGTAAACCAGCTGTGCTGGGAGTCCAATAAACACTTTCTGTGTGTTTTTTTTAGTTGAACATCACATTAGAATAATGGCAGGGTCACGGGTTTAATTTGTTACAAGTATACAGACTACTCTTGTGTACCTGGAATCATGTGAGGAAGAGATTTGTGGAATCCTTCCAGGCTGTTGCTTCCACGCAGACATAGTTGTGGATGGGGGCTCGCTAGGCTGGCTAGTGGACACATGCTGCTTGGGCTGGACAGGGGCCTCTGGCTGTTCTGCCCGGACATGGGCCTCACGCTTTTTGGTCCTGACAGAGGCCTCAGGCTGTGTAGGAGCCTAAATGCAGTTTATTGATAAACAGAAATATTAATATTACACTAAGTAGCATGCAATAACTATAAAGTCATTTACATGTTCATTGAAGTAGAAGTAATTTCTCGTATTTAAAATGTGTGTGGATGATTTACAGTGTAGAAAAATCTCATTTATATTACATTTGGGAAACAGACGAACGCTGTATGACTGTCGTTTCCTATTAACTGCATGCACTTTAACTGCTCGGGGATACTCTCGCAAGAAGGTTTGGGTGGTAATCTTGAAAACAGTCAGGCAAGCTTTTTTTTTCATTAATTAACTCTCGTTTCTGTAATCTTCTTGTACCGTTGCTGTCTTATATCTAGGCAAAAGGATACAATTTCTACCCGTGGATTTATTGATGTGGATACGGACAAGAGGAACAGTCAAGCTAAGGGCTTATTTAATGCAAACTTACAGGCTGCTTGGACCGGACTGCGACCTCTGGGTGCTTGGGCTGAAGTGGAGCCTCTGGCTGCCTGGTCTTGTCTGTGAGCCGGGAACCCTAGTTTCGCCCAGACTTTGCTTTTTGTATTATGAAGGTTTTTTTGTTTTCTTTAATGGCTTATTGTCTGTTAACTCTGTATCTCACTTGCCTTCCACAGCCTGGCATGCAGCTAACAGTTCAGTGTCGTCGTCATCGTCATCATCTGCCAATGGCGAAGGACCACACTTGGAGGGGCTTGCCTGTGGCTGCTGGACAACAAATGAAAAGGGACTTTCTAGATGTTCTTTCTTGTTTTTAATTACCAAAAGCAAACAGACACATTTAGCCCAAGTGTTTAAAATATAAGTTATTTCATCAGAATTTTCATTTACTAAGCTACTCTTACTGTTTCATGACAAACAAATAAATAAACACTTACTCACTCTTTGTCAGTGATATACTTCCTGAACCTCGTCATCTGCACGCTTGTGATGTGGGTGACTGGTGTGTTTAACCACCGCCTCACAGAACTGCATGCTTTCTGTATTATCTCCCTCTGCTCATCACTGAATTGCTCTGGCCTATCCTTCTGGGCTTGGTACTGGCTGTAGATTTCCCACATCTCCTGAAAAGTGTGATTCTCAAACCCTCTCTGACCGTAGATACACCTGTCGACGTTGGCCTGAAGGAGACAGGAGATTTGTGGGAAGCTCTCAGCATATTCTGTGAGGCTGTCTTTCACCCACTGGTTCACCATCTCTCCCTTTCTACGTGGGTTTTTCATCTCTAACATGTGCTTGTCAAACACACTGGAAACATATACATCAACTTAGTACTGCCATAATTTATATCACCGCAACTGTGATAATCAGAAAAGAAACTTTGCAAAGATGAATAATAAACACTGATAACAGCCAAAGTTTTGTGCAAAGAGATCATTTCTTTTAAGCATGCCATCAAAATGGTATTCAAAATGCATAGCATACAATGTAATAAATGATGTAATGTAAGGGATTAAATATAATATGCTTGCTACTTCATGTAGCCCACATCGTTTGCCACAAGCCAGTGAAACGGTGCTTTCAAATACTGGCCAAATGGCACCACCAGCTTTCCCAGGCACAGCTGACGTGACGGCGCTCTGCTTGGAGGAGCCTCTCTGCGTGGACCGGGGCAGTGGCCTGGTTAAGTAGCTCCTGTGCAGGTTTGGGGAAGACCATTCTTTTCTCCCGACGGCAAGGGGCCTCTTTGGTCGACATCAGTATGGCCTGTTGATCTGCCTTGACGACGCGGATTACCGGGGTCGCCATCTTCAGTTGCAGCTACTGAAATACACACACACACACACAGGAGCGACAACAGCATTATTAGTGTCATTACATTAAGATAACATATCAATTACTAATTACAATAAGGTAATATATCAATTACTAATATAAAAATAAATGTTTGCGCACAGTAGGTCATTAATAGCATTTTAGCACAAAGCAAGGAACAGTAGAAGAAGTGTCAGAGCAGGGTGAGGAGTGCTAAACCCTCAAAACAGCTCTGAGGGAGAGTTAATTAACTCCTGACTGACTGTTTCCCATGTATCTGAATTTTTTCTTCTCCAGCGTTCATATCATCTTCACATTCAAAATATTTTGCCCCAAAGGTTGCCAGTAACACAAAATATTAGTATGTGTTATAGAACTCTGATTATTCCTTGAGATAAATATTCCCTTTGTTATGTCCTCGCCTACAGTAGATAGGTAAGTATGTACACCAGGAATAATGGGCTACATCATATCTAGCAACAACTAAACTTAGCCTAGTTATAAATATAAATTATTACTATGTTGTGATGTATGCATTACCAAAAGAAGCATCTGCATCACTATGCACATGCCACAGTGTGGGTGTAAACCCTGTATAACATAGAATTATACTCTCTAATAGCCAAACAGCCGTTTTTCTGCCACACAACATGCCTTTTTATCATGATCTGAGTGGCATTTTGCAACACAATAATCCAGTATAGACCTAACATTAATTTATTTAAGGTTTATTACAGGTGCTGGTCACATAATTAGAATATCATCAAAAAGTTTATTTATTTCAGTAATTCCATTCAAAAAGTGAAACTTGTATAACGTATACATTCATTCCAGACAGACTGATATATTTCAAGTGTTCATTCCTTTTAATTTTGATGATTATAACTGACAACAAAATCAGTATCTCAGAAAATTTGAATATTGTGAAAAGGTTCAATATTGAAGACACCTGGTGCCACACTCTAATCAGCTAATTAACTCAATACACCTGCAAAGGCCTTTAAATGGTCTCTCAGTCTAGTTCTGTAGGCTACACAATCATGGGGAAGACTGCTGACTTGACAGCTGTCCAAAAGACGACCATTGACACCTTGCACAAGGAGGGCAAGACACAAAAGGTCATTGCTAAAGAGGCTGGCTGTTCACAGAGCTCTGTGTCCAAGCACATTAATAGAGAGGCGAAAGGAAGGAAAAGATGTGGTAGAAAAAAGTGGACAAGCAATAGGGATAACCGCACCATGGAGAGGATTGTGAAACAAAACCCATTCAAAAATGTGGGGGAGATTCACAAAGATTGGACTGCAGCTGGAGTCAGTGCTTCAAGAACCACCACGCACAGACGTATGCAAGACATGGGTTTCAGCTGTCGCATTCCTTGTGTCAAGCCACTCTTGAACAAGACACAGCGTCAGAAGCGTCTCGCCTGGGCTAAAGACAAAAAGGACTGGACTGCTGCTGAGTGGTCCAAAGTTATGTTCTCTGATGAAAGTAAATTTTGCATTTCCTTTGGCAATCAAGATCTCAGAGTCTGGAGGAAGAGAGGAGAGCCACAGAATCCACGTTGCTTGAAGTCCAGTGTAAAGTTTCCACAGTCAGTGATGGTTTGGGGTGCCATGTCATCTGCTGGTGTTGGTCCACTGTGTTTTCTGAGGTCCAAGGTCAACGCAGCCATCTACCAGGAAGTTTTAGAGCACTTCATGCTTCCTGCTGCTGACCAACTTTATGGAGATGCAGATTTCATTTTCCAACAGGACTTGGCACCTGCACACAGTGCCAAAGCTACCAGTACCTGGTTTAAGGACCGTGGTATCCTCGTTCTTAATTGGCCAGCAAACTGGCCTGACCTTAACACTATAGAAAATCTATGGGGTATTGTGAAGAGGAAGATTCGATACGCCAGACCAACAATGTAGAAGAGCTGAAAGCCACTATCAGAGAAACCTGGGGTCTCATAACACCTGAGCAGTGCCACAGACTGATGGACTCCATGCCACACCGCATTGCTGCAGTAATTCAGGCAAAAGGAGTCCCAACTAAGTATTGAGTGCTGTACATGCTCATACTTTTCATGTTCATACTTTTCAGTTGGCCAACATTTCTAAAAATCCTTTTTCTGTATTGGTCTTAAGTAATATTCTAATTTTCGGAGGTACTGAATTTGGGATTTTCTTAGTTGTCAGTTTTAATCATCACAATGAAATGAAATAAACATTTGAAATATTGAATTTGAATATAATCAGTCTGTGTGTAATGAATGAATATAATATCCAAGTTTCACTTTTTGAATGGAATTACTGAAATAAATCAACTTTTTAATGATATTCTAATTATATGATCAGCACCTGTATATGATATTTCAATATCATTGACCTAGCTTATTACTACGGTTTTGCTATTTGTTACGATACTGGTCCACACTGTGGAGTGTCAGGATTTAAACAGTAACGTTACAGTTATGTGAGGGTGTCGCTAGAAATGTTGGCATAGTAGTTCCGTTAACGCGGACTGACTGAAGTTTATCTCATTAATTATCTCGCGGTTTTAAATAACTGCGCCATTAGCTGACTGCGGCGAGTTAGCTGCTAGCACGCTAGCGTTCACCACAATGGATGAAAACAAGATGGTGGCTGGTAAAGTTAAGAAACCGGGCAAACGTGGCCGCAAATCTGCAAAGATCGACCTGAAGGCCAAACTGGAACGAAGCCGTCAGAGCGCCAGAGAGTGCAGAGCGAGGAAGAAGCTGAGGTACCAGTACCTGGAGGAACTGGTTTCCAGTAAGGAGAGAGCCATCTGCGCTCTGCGGGAGGAGCTGGAGATGTACAAGCAGTGGTGTTCGGCCATGGATCAGGGGAAGATCCCCTCCGAGATTAAAGCTCTGCTGACCGGAGACGACCAGAAAATGCCTCAAGGTGGCAGCAGCACCAAGTCGTCCAAGAACAGCAAGAACGGCATCAGCAGCAACGGCCAGGTGTAATCTGGCCCTGCGACAGAGACTGATGGAGGAAAACTGCTGCTGTCGATCGTCTACAATCAATATAATTAAGCATTCATTAAGAGCTGAAGTGACTCGCGGGAACATTCATGTACTTACAGGCTTATTTTCTACATTAGTTACTCTAATATCTTTAACAGTGAGATGCATTTATGTAGGTAATTCCTGAAACTTTCATTTTGATGTTTTCAGACCAGTTTAAGCTTCAGAATTTAAACATGTCACTCATTTCTCCTCCAGTTCAACACTTTTTATTCAACAAGCCTTTTTAACCCATCTGTTCTTCATCAAGGGTCGGAGACGGTTTCTCACCGTCTGCTTTCTAGAGCTTTTACAAATCCAAAATGCCTCTGAAGGAAGTTTCAGCCTGAGGCTACACCCACACTCCTACGCTTCAGTTTTAAAACGCAGACTTTCGGCTATGTTTACGCCTGCCGTCTGGACTGAAATGGCAAATCTGAAAACGAAGAAGTTTGAAAACGCTGCTGACCCCGTTTAGGTTTTCAAAACGATGGCGCAGACGCTCACCTTTTGGCTTCCTGATTGGCTCTTATCAGTCATGCAAATATTTAGTTTTGGTATTTATATTAAAATATTTTGTACTGTGTAAATAACACTTATACACCTTTACTGTGTATGTCGCAGTATTTACTTTGCGCCGCCACCGTTTCTCTGTCCTCCCGTGTTCCTTTCAGTAACAGTTCCACCTCGCTGTCGGTCCGTGCAGAGAAATCTCTGCTGTGGTTCTTCTCCATTGCTGTTCTTCGTGGATGGAGATCGTAGGAGTGTGTGTTGAGAGAGGAACCGTTTTAAGGAAGACGTTTTAATAAGATGAGATAAGATTTTTGAGATTTTTACCCATTCATGCAGTGGTTGAACTGAATTATTTTTTAATCAAAGCTTAACAGTATCAATTCCAAAATATTACCTGCAGTGCGACCTTTCGTGCATGTTTCTCAAGACTTGCTGCTGCATCAGACATGTTCAGCTTTGCACAAACGTCCACAGAAGTCCGCAGTTCTTCTTCTGTTCTTCCTGTCCAGCGGGGCATTGCGTGCATGGGTTAAAAAAAATGCTTCTCACGTGTTTCAGTAAAAAACTAAACTCAACATCTTTTTTCCATTCTAGTGATCCTAAAGAGAAAATTCTGCTCTTTAAAACTCATTTCTAAACACAGGATACTTGAGACATCCGTTCTTTAATCTCTCATTTCATATGGAGTTTCCTTTTTTTTCTTAAAATTTTCCATGTAAAGCTAGTGAGTATTAGGGCTGAACGATTAATCGAAATCTTTTCAAACTCACTAGATGACCTGAAATTTTCAAATCGCAGGAGGTGCAATATTTGTTAAAGATGCTTTGTGTGTGAAAATACCATTTTAAATTAAACATTTTGCTGCAGAGACGTCCGGGACTGCACATGAAAATCTACAGACTTAAGAAAACGTCTTTGTTTGGTACAGATCCTGGAAAAAAAAAATAAAATCACACCAGAATTCATTTTAAATATGTTTTTCAGTGAAAATGAAAATAATCACAGTAAGATGTTTTTTTTTCAAAATCGTTTAGTCCTATTGTGAAAAGTTCCTAATTTATGAATCATTTAGAGAAATTTTGGATTTGTAAAAGTTTTCTAAGCAGACTTTAAGGGCTGCAAATAACGATTAATTCCATTCATGGAATTTCACCACTAATTGATTAGTTGTTTGATCCATGAACTTGTCAGAAAATGGTGAAAATGTCGGTCACTGTTTCCCCAAAGCCCAAGAGGACCTCACGACCCAAATATATTCAGTTTACTGTCACAGAGGAGCAAAGAAACCAGAAAATATTCACATTTAAAAAGCTGGAATTAAGAGTTTTTGATTATTTTCTTTAATCGTTTTGAGTCTTTTTTTTATTTTTATCGATTGACGAATAATCAACTAATCGGTGAAGCTTTACAGATTTCTAAACGTAGTGTTTCTGAGTGACTGACCGATCGCTGTGATGAAGGTGGAGAGAGAAAAACATTTTGTGAATGGACCCGTGTTTTAAACTTAAAGGTATGTTGCTCTTCATGTTTGTGGATGTACTTTGCTCTTGTTGCTGCCCCGCTACATTGTTAGGAATTAAAATCTCGTCGTGGTTCTACAGTAGGCTATATTTTTTTAAACGTGACTAAAGATGGCCTTCCTGCTGTAGCGTTATTTTAAAGATCAGGAGGACAGGGAGTCGGAATGTACAGCGATGTTGATAAGTCTGTTGGATAAATCTGGAGATATATTTTTGTATTTTGTGTATCTGCTCAGAGGAAGCGTGTGCGAGTGTTTTGTGTTTTTGTTCGAGTCCGTCTGTTTCAGCACAACAGGTTGGACTTATTACTTAAAATGATGTGGTGATGATGAAGTACACAGAACGATGAGTGGGTTCACTGCCCAGAAGCTTCTCTCATCATTTAGTTTCCACATTTCTGTTTGTTGTTGTTTCTCACTTGAATCCAGTAGTTGCAGCATGCAAATCCTCACAGGCGTTAATTTCTGAATGTGTTTCAGGATTTTGTTTTTTGCCAGTGAGGTAATGTAAATGTAATGCCTCGTGTCTTACTGCTTTGATACTAGTTTGATGCTTTGCAACAATATCTGTGTCTGAACTCTTTTAGATGTCAAAGATAGTAAAAGAGTATTTGACTGAAAAAAAAAAAAAAAAAAAATGTTGGCATAGTGAGTAACGTTATAACTAATGAATATGGCGATGCAAAAGATCTCCGATCTTTGCTGATTTTTTTTTTTACCAAAACGGTTAACAGTGAACTAACTAATTAACCATAACTGTAATGCTAACGTTATGTTCCTGGACGACGTGGCAGTGCTGGACGACGTGGCGGTACTGGAGGCGGTGCTGGACAACGTGGCGGTGCTGGACGACGTGGCAGTGCTGGACAACGTGGCGGTGCTGGACGACGTGGCGGTACTGGAGGCGGTGCTGGACAACGTGGCGGTGCTGGACGACGTGGCAGTGCTGGACAACGTGGCGGTGCTGGACGACGTGGCGGTACTGGAGGCGGTGCTGGACGACGTGGCGGTGCTGGACGACGTGGCGGTGCTGGACGACGTGGCGGTGCTGGACGACGTGGCGGTGCTGGACGACGTGGCAGTGCTGGACAACGAGGCGGTGCTGGACGACGTGGCGGTGCTGGACAACGAGGCGGTGCTGGACGACGTGGCAGTGCTGGACGACGTGGCGGTAATTGAGGCGGTGCTGGACGACGTGGCGGTAATTGAGGCGGTGCTGGACAACGTGGCAGTGCTGGACGACGTGGCGGTACTGGAGCTGGACGACGTGGCAGTACTGGACAACGTGGCGGTGCTGGACGACGTGGCGGTGCTGGACGACGTGGCAGTGCTGGACAATGTGGCAGTGCTGGACGACGTGGCGGTACTGGAGAGGCAAAAGGTAATTGTAAGAATCTGTGGAGAAGCATGGATAAATTAATGGGAAGGAAAAAAATAAATCAGGAGCATTTAAAACTCAAAATCAATGGAATTGTTCAAAATGAGGGCTCTATTCTGGCTAAACATTACAATGATTATTTCTTGGATTCTGTATTAGATCTCGCGGAGACTTTTCCTGAAGTGAACTGCTGTGGAGATGATCATGGGGATGGTAATGCGTCTCACTGTAGGTTGCAGAATATAGATGAAGATAAAATAATATCAAATTTAAAAAATAGTAAAGCAAAGGATGTATTTGGACTTGATACATCACTTTTAAAAGAACATATAACTATTCTAACTCCTGTATTAACAATAGCTGTGAATCAATCTATAAAGGAAAATCATTTTCCTTTGGCGTTAAAAAAAGCAGTAGTCAAGCCGATTTTCAAGTCAGGAGACAAACTCTATGTGTCAAACTATCGACCTATTAGCATTCTGCCAGCCATCTCTAAGATCTTTGAGAAGGTGGTGGCAGAACAACTAGTAGAGCATCTCGACCACACTGATGCATTACATCCTTGCCAGTTTGGGTTCAGGAAAAGATACTCCACAGAGTCTGCGTGCTGCTACTTGATAGAAGATATTAAATCCAGTCTTGATGGTGGAGGTGTGGTAGGGGCGGTCTTTCTGGACTTGAGAAAGGCCTTTGATACAGTTAATCATCAGCTTCTCATTAGCAAACTATCTGATTTTTTTTCTTGACACAAATACAATAGCATGGATTCAATCTTACCTTAATGACAGACAACAATGCGTTGTGGTTGACAATAAAAAATCACCATTAAGATCCTGTAGCATGGGAGTGCCACAAGGTTCCATTCTGGGCCCCCTGCTTTTTACCCTTTACATAAATGATCTACCAACTGTGTGTAAGAGTAAAATCATCATGTATGCTGATGATACGGTGTTATATGCACATGGTAAAACTGCGGAAGAAGTCGCTCAAAAACTGACCAAAGAGATTAAGAAAGTTTCTTTGTGGCTGAAAAACTTATGCCTCACTCTAAATTTAGATAAGACTGTTTCAATGTTTTTCAGAAATCGTTCTAAAATACAAATCTACCCTAATATTTTAATTGAAGGACAAATCATTTCAAATCATGAACAGGTAAAATATTTAGGTGTCATATTGGAACCAAATTTAGGCTTTAAAAAACATATTAAAAAGTTATCAAATACAATAAAATTTAATATGGCACAATTCAGATACATTCAATGCAATGATAGTTCCTCATTTTCGATATTGTATGACAAGTTGGTCACAGGCTACTAAAACTGCCCTCAAGCCACTTGAGTCATTATATAAAACCTCTCTAAAGATTCACGATCAGAAAAGCAGACGATTTCATCACTGTCATATTCTTGTAAAATATCAATTTCTCAGCTTTGAAAATTTGATAATTCATACCAATCTGTGTTTGATGTATAAGATCCTTTATGACAACGCTGCTCCTCCTCTAAAACAATTTATCTCTTTGGGCTCTGAAACAACAACTCGAGCCACTAGATCTACAGTGCGAGGGGAATGCAGGATCCCTAAACGCAGGACAGCATTTGGAAACTCTGCTTTTTCTGGTGTGGCCGCTCGTCAGTGGAATATGTTACCTACAGAGTTGTTTAAAAGTACAAGTTCTTACACGTTCACACGTCAGGCAAAGAAATGGCTTTTATTAAATCAATTTTGTTCCCTTATGTGACCAGATGTATGTATGTGTGTATATAAGTGTGTGCTCTAAGCTCTGTATATGAAAGGTGTGAACATTTCCTTTTGTACATTTTTATTTTGTCATTGTAAATCTTATTATTCATGTATGTTTTTTATGTATCTTAACTTAACATCAGCCTGCCCAGGGACTACGGGTGAAAATTAGCTCTTGAGCTAAAACCTGGTACAATGCATCTTCCCCTTTGAGGTTAATGTTTATTGTACGTTGTCCCTGTTTCTCTAAATAAATAAATGAAATGAAATAAGAGATGTCGTCCTCCTTCATGACGAGGGATGGTCATGGTCATGGTCACTGCCAGCCTGAGAGTCAGCTTGGAGGTGCTTGTGAAGGCTGTACCACTGCCACATTTCCTGGAATGTGAAGGACCTGAAGCGGCCCTGGCCTTAAATGGCCCTTGATCTCCAGGTGGCAGGAGACTGGAGGAAACAACTGCACGGATTTGAGCAGGTAATCCTTCACCCACTCATCGCTGATTCCAGCTTTCCTGTGTGGTTGACGGCTCTCTTTGATTTGGCAGTCCAGGATGCTAAAATATAGAACATGATATTTGATAGAAGAAAAGACAAACTGTACAAAGTTTGATTGACTGTTTAGTGAAACATACTCACTATTTAACGTATCCTACATCATTTTCCACCAGCCACTTGTACTTTCCAAAAGTAATAATTAGCTGACCAAGAAACTGCGTCTTTCGGAGTTTCCGTGATTATCTGGCATCTCCTTTTAGCTGCAGATTTTAGACATTGGAAGTGTTGTTATAACTATAAAATAACAATATAAGAATTCTAGTGCACTGCTGTGGCATGGCATGCAGTACTGCACAGGATAGGTCAGGCGGACACTACATGGACCATATGTTGGTCGTGCATCTATGACACTAATGCAGATATATTACCTTCTCAATAGCCGTCTTCGGATCCCTCAGCCTGCTGTCGTCATATGCTTGGGATGTCTTTGACGACTGGCATGACCTGGCTTCCTTTGTTGCCTTTAGAAGGCATTGTTGCCTATCCTGTGGCACACTTGTGTCCAGAATACACAAGACAGGCATCAACAGATCCATTCCAGGTCTCTTAGATGAAAAACATTAAACTCTTTAAGTGTTTTGGGACAATATCCTTGTTTGTAGGTACAGCAAAACACACATGTATGAAAGGGCTGCTTAATGATTATGTAATGACACACGCTGGAAGAAAATTCTTTAGAATGAGCATGACGAACACAAGTGGTAATGATGAAGACGGCAGAAATATCCCAGTCTTCTCCTGTGACTCACCTGCTGAATGACGAGCTGTCTTACACTCCATCCTCTGTCCTCACTCTCTGTAAGAACATGTTAGGCCACTTAAATGTGCATACTTTTTTCTCACTTATTAAGCCACACATACAGCCAGTGGGGCTCTGGAACTCTTTTACAACGGTGAGAAAGACGTTTAGAAGCCAGGTGACACGTTTTGTTCGTACAATGGAGAATGCTGCTGTTATCTACAGGCTAAACACTATCCCAGTTTAATCAAACACTATCCCAGTTTAATCAAACACTATCCCAGTTTAATCAAACACTATCCCAGTTTAATCAAACACTATCCCAGCTGCAAGAGGGGGGCAGGACATAACAAATGACCAGCTCTGTGGCTCCTCATCGCGACTGATCGATATGGCAAAGAGTATCTGCTCAGAGAGGGCCCTAGAAATGGTTTTAGAAGAGAGACAAGCTTTGGAAGATGATGAAGAGTTTCTGTCAAATCTGGCAGGGAGTTTGAAGAAGGGGGGGGGCTCGTATTAGTTGCGCCGACCAG